GGAAACGATTAGGACTTGCTCCAGCGTGGCTGTTTCTCTTTCCAAACTGGCCTCTCTTCTGGGCTTGCGGTTTGCCTATCGCCACGGAGACGGGGCACCCCCCCCCCCCACGTGATGTCCACTCTCCCGCACAACTGTGTCACGGTCAATGAGTGACGTCAGCGCTTGTCAGGGGAGGTCAGCTGAGGCCCAGGGCTTCAGTTAAGCGATGCTACTAGTTACAGGAAAGGGTACACTTCGGTTGTCATGGAGTTGCATCTTTTTCTATTTTTCCATCACGCTCTGTTTGTCTCACTGGCCTCCTTGCTAGCCCTTCCTGCCATTTTCATTGGTTAACTGAAAATTCCTCCCATACACTGTTTTTCAAAACGAAACTATAGATATTTCAAATTAAACAATAATAAATTTTAAGTGAATTAAAGAATAATATTCTTTAAGTGAATTAAATTTTAAGTGAATTAAAGAATAACATTTTATGACAAGACAATATAATAAGATAAGATCACTTTATTGGCCATATACAATTTCTTGCATTAGGAATTTGTGCATAACCCAACTTGCTCTCCATGAGACACACAGACAGGGAGAGAACCTTGGGGTCAGAGCACAGGGTCAGCCATTTGTATGGCACCCCTGGAGCAGCTGGGGTGAAGGGCCATGCTTAGGGACTCAACAGAGTAAAATTCCTCTGCCAGCCGCAGAATTTGAACTGGCAACCAGAGGCGCAGATCCTTAGCCACAGTGCTATTGCTCGGCCCATGCAGTACTCAGAGTACATGTGAACTTTTGCTTTAGTAACTTTTTCAGCAATTTCAGTGGTGCAGCTGCTTATTGTCTCCCAAGGACGCCTGTAAGTAAATGATTATGTATACTGATACTGAGTGAACTATAGGATGCAAAAGAGTCAAAATGCAGTTACAAAGCAAACTTGTAACAGAGCTCAGAGACTGTACTGTCTGTACTGTCTGTCTAGTCTAAGAAATTTCACAGTTTTAGCATGAACTATTATCAACAAAAGCAGAGTTGAGAAGCACCAATTTTAATAGCTTTTATAAGGATAAAGTACATGGAATGTCATAGCAAAAGTACTATAGTAGTCAGTAGCAAATATCTGCTGCCAAAAACTCCTTCTAGGCAGTAACCCATTAATTCCATAGTTTCCAATTATGTTTGAATCATTTGGTGGACGTTTGATAAACCTGGAGATCTTATTAACATGCAAGTAGAGCTGTAGGGTTAGAAAACTTTAAGGCTGATATTTAATAACGCTGCCTTGCAGACACAGTTGGTTGCTATTTTCCCCCTTTTTGCTGAAGTATGTGCAACACTGATACACTTGTCATTTCCTCACATCCTCCTTTTCTTAGTGTGTGCAGGAGCAGTTATTTATCAAGGAAAACAGAAATCTGTGCAGTGAGATAACAGGCCATGGAGAAAGTATCAGAGGTAAATAAACAGGAAGATCCAAATGGTGGGCAGTTTTTTAGAGAGTTGAGATTCTTGGCTGTAGCACGTTGCTTTCAAATTGCTCTTGTATCGAGCTGTGCCTCATGTTCATGAAGTTCATAACAGACCAAGTCACACTTCCTAGCGTTAGATGATTTTATTTGCTTTCACAGAATTGGTCTAGTTGGATCGTGCACTCCACAGAGCTTTTGTCACCTCGGTTCTAATATGGATACCAGATTAAACTGAATGATCAAAACTGGAAGAGAAAGAGAGGTTTTGCGGCTTCAAACAGTGAATCTGTCTCAGTTTCTTTGGACTGAAGAACGGCTCCTGGGCACAGGAATAAAATACCAGGTCCAGGTCATAGTGACTTAAAGATCTCAACTCCAACCACCTACAGGTATCTATCCATCCAATTTCTAACTGTTTTTCCTCCAGTTCAGGGTCATGGGGGAGCCAGAGCCTATCCAGGCAAGCAACAGGCACGACTCCAACCAGCCGATATGATGTGACCACCAAGATAGTCTCAGCTCAGTGAGATCTTAGAGCATGGGGAATGAGCATGAGTGAAGGAGATAAGATGCCAGCTTTACAGCAGGTGAAAGCACAATGTTGGAATCAGACATAAGCATCAATAATGGTCACGGCCATTGCATAGCAGTCATAACACATTAGCAAAAACAAACCCCGCTGTTCCTTTAAGAAGCTATCCATTTAAGAAACTCTCCGGCTCATTGCTTCTCTACAATCCTGCACTCTGACACTGTAAATATTGAATAGGACGGGCCTCCCTGTGGTGCTATGAGTTGCTGTCATGGGGTGGGGGCTGACTTAGTGACAGTACAGGCATTTATTGCATATTACATAGCAAATGAGAGAAATAGGCCAAACCTCGGATCCCACTACAGTTAAGACAAAACAGCTGCGGCATGTATATTTACTGCAAGCCTTGAAAAACAAATGGGAAAAAGAGAGAAATTATACAAGGTGGCAAAGGTAAATCATGGTTCTATGCTAATTATGTAATGATTCCTTCCTTTTGTCAAGTCCGCTGCAAATATTTTCCCATTACAGATATTACAGAGTTCCTTAGTTTGCATTTTTGAGTCTCAGAACCTGACAGCTACCAAAGGGCATGAACAAGTGGATCCGTGCAATTCCAGCAGTCTCACAGGCAGTTTGCTCTGCTTCCCAATGAAAACCACACTTCACTGGATGCCATGATTAGACACTAGGTTTGCTCAGTTATTTGCTTGCTTCTTTTGGGAGAGGACTGCGCTCAGAGGTGAGAAACAGCTCATTACACTGCAAAAGGCAATATACATTTTATCTGTATGTACAGTATTTCAGGCATTCACATTTTTCAACGCTGCTCCCTTTCCCAAAGGATAGGCTTGATTGAACTGAACCCTTCGCTTGTGTTTAACCCTGATAATAGTCCCCTTGTGGCACGTGTATCTTGCTGCCATTAGCACAGTGCTAAGTGATTTAAACAGTCTCAGAGCCCCCAGGGGTTGGGGAAGATTAGACTGAGTCTAAGTATATGAAATGCTACAGAAGCAGCTGACAACAGCAGTTCCATTCTCTTTAACCAGGTACAGTATATGAAGTAACAGCGGATGGTTGTTCAGAACGGACAATGCAATCTACACGTTGGCAGTGAACAGGTTTGAGTTAGCGATGTAGGTACAGTGTTAACAATGGATTCTCAGACAATAACAGTCCCATGTTTGTTGTGTTGATGGTGTCTTTAGGGATATTAAGAAGACTTTTCATCGAGGAGCAACCTGCAACACAATAGATTGATTTGCTTTCACAGGGCGAGGACTGAGTGATAGTACAGGCATTTATTGCATATTAAGAGGAGATGAATAGATCGAACCTGAGATCCCACTACAGTTAAGACCAACACCTGCAGCATGTTTCTTTTCATTAAATCAAGCAGGTCCTTAGTTCAGTTCTTAGCTACATGGTACACTCCTTATAGTTTCTCTACTGTGGGAATTACAAAAGGCCAGACAAAGTTATGCTTTGCATTAGTGCTGTATTACTGTATGCTACGCAGTGCGTGCAAGAATATAGCACTAACGCAATGCAAAACACTTCCTTTGTTGTATGATCTGATTGTCAAAGATACATTCTACCTGTATTTAGAAAGCCCAGGCACAACTACTCTGTGTGGGCCCCAGTATCACCACGGCCACACTTTGGGACTCACAATATCCAAGACACACAACTCATGTCAGCACACCCTGCCGCTGTGACGATGAAGACCAAGGAAGACTTCTTGTTGCTTAATCCAACACACTTGTGCTACAAATGCAGTAGAGTAAAACCATTAACGACAGTACTTAGTTAAATTAATTAGGTTCTTAGTTCAGTTCATAGCTGCACGGTACGGTGCTATAGTATCAGTTCTCTGGGAATGACAACAGGCCAGACAACCAAGTGAATAAACAAAGATGGTTAATCTCTTCAAATTCCTCCATTCAATTTTAACGTGTATTTTCGTTGCTCTTTTAAAATTCTCTGCTTCAGTCAGAGAACGGCAGTCAACCGAGCTTTTAATTCTTCTTCTACATCTACACGTCTTGCAAAATACTGAAAAGCCCCATTTTATACGGTCTGCATTTCCCCAAACGGACACTGGAGGGTTCCGAGAATTGGAGGACCGCGCTACAGCGCCTCTTGCCTCCTGGGGCCGAGCTGAATGCAGCGGCTTGGAATTTTCGGAATGTTCCATGACGTCATCCGGTAAAACTCTTGTGCGGGGAGAGGGGGGGGGTCGAGTGAAGGATGAGCGGCAGCGGCGGCAGCCACTAGCGAGGAGCGGGCTCCGCTGCCTCATGAATATTAATGAGATGCAAAGTGACGGGCCAAGGCCAATGGGAGACAGAGAGAGGGGGCGGGGCCCCCCACCGCGGGGGGTGGTGGGGGGGGGTGCGGCGCTGCGCGGCGCGGGGTGTTTGCGTAGCGCGACACGGTGTTTTTGTTGTGCTGATCAGCTGAATGTGGGATTGCAGTTCCAGTTTGACAAGGGTGAGGGAAAGCCCCTATTCGTCCCAACCTGCCCTGTGTGTTAGCGCTGCAAGGATCCGCACCACACACCATCTCCATTCCCGGGGAGATGCGAACTCCTGCCCTCGTTGCATTGTGGAATAAATGGCTTCAGGCACTACAGCGCTGTCAGGTAAGGCAACTGCATTTGCGATGTTACCACTAATATTGTTGTGACATCTCCAGGGTAATAAGTGGGGGGAAAAAAGAAAATATTTAGGGTGGCGTGTTGTGCTTTTTTGGACGGGGGGACGGACGAGTTTCGGCCAAGCAGCAACTGAAGTTCGGAGGCTTTGAACCCCGTGATGTGCTTTTCTTGACCTGACAAAATGTATTATTTTAAATTTCCATGCCGTGTATATAAATATATGGGTCATGAAATACAGAAATGACATTCGCCACGGGTGTCATATTTTACAGTCCCTAAAGAAATATATTTCTTTTTCAATGAGTGATAGTCTTGTGATTCTGTGGACAAGTAGAAATATTAGTGTTGAGTGTTAGGAAGTCGTCACTTTGCGCTGTACGGCTATGCAGAAATTCGCCGTTGTGCGCGTTAATAGACTTGCAATTCCGATATCTCCTGTAGTGGTACTGTTATGGTACGGCGCTGGCTTACTACAGTATATACAGTACGGTGTTTGTGGCTATTTTGCAAAACAAAATAGGTGAACCGTCATATTTTCGTTAGGCTGCTGTCATCCTCCTGAATGAATAGCACGGAAATTTACTGTATTCCGGTTTTAGGACAATGCCTATGAAAAGAACATGCAGATAGTTTTCATCAGTGTGGTACATAATTACGGCAGATTGAATAATGCGAGGGACTTCAGTATCGCCCCCCGTAGCACAGAGAGCGGCACCTTCTGAGTAAACGCAGACCAGTGGACAGTGTGTGCTCGTCTTTCCTCTCATTCCTTGGAAAGAGTACAAACTGGAGGGATATAACAGGTCGCATCGCGTTAGCACCATTCCAAATCAGAGACGTTACGAGTATTGAAATGTGTAGGGTGAAAGGAGTTTACGACAGTACCCCCGGCGTAAAAGATAAAAAAAGAAGGGTAACTTCAGCTGGCGTGGATAACAATTCAGGTTTTATTTAAGGCTCTGCTTTCATTTTCGGTGAGACCGTTCCACGACAATTAAGCAAGACGCTTTTTATAGAAAATTACTTAATGCATGTACCCCCAGTTACAGAAAATACCTTAATACACCGATGGTATACAACACAATACAGAACAGCGGAAATACTTGAAGACGCTCTAACGGCGCTACTGTGTGCTGCTAGATAGCTGCATTATATATACATCGCCAGTGGCAAATCACCCCGGCTGTTCCAGTGTGTTTTTACAGGCTACAGCTGTGAATGTAGGAGTATGCGTAAAATTATTCCATTCACCCGCGCCAGTCATCTGCCGTAGTACCGTAATGACTGTCATTAAAGGGAGGGAATGACAGGCGAGTGGGGATGGGGACACGGCGCTTGCCGCTTTGTTGCGCCGAGTACGAGCTTCTGACAGGCGCTGCTACAGACAAGTACATCGGCGGAGCCGCTGCCTGCATGACGCCCGCGGTGTGAGCCTGCCTTCTTCTGCGGCCGTCACGGGAGAGTGGATTATTTTAAACCCGTCCTCCAGTTCTCCGGTTCTTTCGCGAACCGAACAAGGAGGCATTGCCTAAAAAAAAAAGAAGAAGAAGAAGAAGAAGAAGGTGCGATTGGGTACTTCCTTTCACACGCCTGCGCTGCCTTACCGGGCACCGCTGAGCAGCGACACCCGCTTTTGGGGGCCGGACCCACCGTCAGCCTGCGTGGGGCAGGACTCTTCGTGAACGAAGAGGAGGTCATCCCTGGACAAGCCAGGTCGCACCTGACAGTTGTGGGGGAAATGTCCTTCTGCCTCGCGTCGCTGACGTTTCAGGGTGTTCTGCAGTTTCACGGTTAGTTGGTGCATTCCTCAACGCCGTTTTCCTGGATGTAAAAACAAAACCAACGACTTACCGCATTGACGAATACTACCCCCAGCAATATTTAGACCGCAAGATGATTGAAAAAGATGGATTGTCATTTTTTTTTTGGGGGGGGGGAGTGAGAATGTGTTATGTGAAATGCGATTTGTGTCTAGGAAATTTTATCTAATGTATTTTTAACAGTGGTTTGCCTGTCTTTTGTGTTAAATCCCTTACACTGAAGTCATGTTATGAGTTTGCGAGTGTGCAATTAATTGGCCAGTCTCCCGCCTTCATGAGAAAGTTCTCTGGAGGTTGAGGAGTGGAAACTATTTGAATATTTTCCTCCAATCAGTTAGAAATGGACACGTGATCTGAATAAAGTGAAGACAAATGTGTCCTAAAGTCATCACCTCCCTACGGTGGCCCTCTGTTACTAATTGGACCCTTATTGACTGATATCACAGCTTCATGTGGCTGGTTTCTGTTCCCAACTTGGCTGTTTTGGATTGAGGGGAAAAGTTTGGACATGACAGCACTCATCTAAACAAAAATAAAGCACTCCAATTACCTTTAAAGAACATGATGTCCTGCCTGCAGAATTAAAATACTAGAGAAAATGTAAACTGCGCATAGAAACACTTCCTGTCTGAGTATGACACCTTGCCTGTGGGAAACATGACATCTTAAGTAAGCTGCAGAACACCGCTGTTGTCTGACCGTACCAGTGTCATTGCCCTTCCCACCATAAAAGCATGTGTCAAAGATGGTCAGATGATAGAAATAATCTTCTGACGTCATATCTGCCATGGTAGAACCTGTCATTCGCATGAGGCCTTCCTCATTTCAGAGCGCTTTCCCACAGCACCGATCTCAGAATGAACCCGGGGAAACTACATTTGTGTGGGATAGTCTTTAAATGGCTCCTGATTTAATGGGGATTCCCCAAGCGGCCCCACACGATTGGCAAAGCTCTGCCAAGGCTGGCCTTGGGACTGGGTGGTCAGGGCTCTCTCGGCTTTCGGCGAATGGCAAACACCTGGCATGTCTGGGGCGCTGACAGGCTTTTCCAAGGGCCATGCCTCTCCTCCTCCTCTTGGCACTGAATGTCCTTCACCCCTGCTGTGCTGCTGGGCTGGGGAGCTTGTAGTGTGAAGCTCTGTGAGCAGCTGGTCATTGCTGTCCAACGCGGTAAGTGATTCCCAATTGGTTGGATATACACTGTAATAAATAAAATAATTGGTGACTCTTAATTAATAAGAGAAGGGCTTTTTACACTAGCCTAGCTTATGTCTTTTTTTAGATACTGTACATGTTTCAGCTCAGAACTGTCCGAGGAAGCTCAACATTACTGCCTATGAGCATTTATAAAGCTTCTTCCATTGTCAGTGCCCTGAGTTGTGCCTGTATCTTTCCTGATGGACTTCATTCGTAGAGCTATCAAGTCTCCAAGGACATTCTGTAGCATGCGTTTGACAGAGTCTGCCTGTATTGCCTGTAAAGAACCCCCTGCAGCCTGTCAAATTAAACCATGCTTTCCTGGCCTATTCCAGAGGGTATAGTCCAGTATAAAACCCCACGACTCAACACGGTGTGACCCTGGCTCACACTTCAGTAGTTCAATAGTTCAACTTTAATAGTTATATGGCTCATGTGTCAGCGCTGAGATGTCACAAAAGTAAGGTTTTAATTCCTGGCTATTATATTAAGTGTTGTGTGATGTGCAAGGGGGTGGCGTTTCTGTTGTTGTTGATGTTTTTTTGACCATGGGGTTGATTAAACCTTCTGCTACTAGTGGCTTCTTTTTCTGCTGTAGAATGGGATCGTAGGTGCGGTAGTGGCTATAATGTTTCAGGCTGTCACTTCAGGGGGAGCTTTTCGGCTGTCGATTGTGAAACACATGGCCAGATCTTTTGGGGAATTCCTCTATTGCAACGCTGTCCACCACGTAAATGAGTAATGCAGTTTTCCCTTCATTTCTCGGAGTCAGTGATGTCATGTACATGAAATTTTTCATTCAATTACAATGTTTGACTGTCTTCAGTACACAGAAGTGCTAAAGAATCCTTGTCTTTGGTACTGAGCAGAAGCAAACACTTCCTGTCAGTTTGCCACAGCACTCTGTCATTGTCCTTGTCTCAGCTGTCTCTGCATGTCCCCAGTGCCTCCTTTCCATCTGCAACCCAGCGATGAGTTCAGCAATTCACTTTCACCTCTGCAGTCTGCTCTGTTATTTTCTTCCGCAGCTCTGTAGGCTCTACGGATACTGTACCCAATGCTTACAGCGAAGATCGCAGGACATCCAAAGTCAGTGCTGCGAAATAACCCTTTCTCCTCTCTGGAAAAAAAAAAGAATAAATGAGATTGTTATAGTTTTCCTGTGGACAGAAAGAAGAGTTTGTTTTTTTTCTATCCACTTATGTGCTATGAATGGATTGGCATCCCCAGGTATATACTCCAGTCTTGCTCAGTCGAAGGGAAGTTGCAAAGAGCTTTCATGCGGTTCCTGAGCTTAAAGATGCAAATTAAGGTAATTATAGATGTTCAGCAGTTTGTGCTCTGTGATAGCAAGGGAAGAATTAGTTCATCTTAGTGATGATGTGTTAACGGAGCTATGGGAGGATTATGCCTAAATCCCGGTCTTTGTCTTTGGTATTTCCAGAGTAAAGTGATAAACTTCAGGTATATGGCAAGCAAGTAAAGGCTCCATTTCTGCCTAAACCCTTAATTTTGCAATTGGTCTGCCTACCCTTTTCATAGATTTAGAAAGCTGATGTTTTGAAGCTAGGATATTTAATATGCAAAATCTGTAAAACATTGTGGCATGTGTTCTAGAGGACAAGATCTGTGCACTTAAGTCAGTCATTAATTAAATTAAATCTGTGGTGAAACGGATGGCAAACGATGCTCTGTCTCTCGAACACTGGAATCGACCTGCTAGTGTGAAATCTCCTGAGCCATAAAAATGATTTTCCAAGAACATTTCCTTTGACTCACTCTGTAGGGCCTGTTTTAGTTTTGTGGAAACTGGAAGTATCCTTAGGTGCTGTTCCCAAGATTGTTTTCTGACAAAGATGCCACATTGTGCAGGACGTATTGTGATTGACGTGAAAAGTCCTCTCTCTGTGTTTATCATCTGATCAAGAATGACGTAAGCCCTCTGAAGACCTCTAGAAATAATTAACTCAGTACCTCCGGTATACAGTGAACATGTAATCAAATCGGGGCTATGAAGGGAAATGTTTTTGTTCTGTACCTGTTTAGAGGAAGAATGGGAGAAATCGTCATAACCCAACAATCTGTATGAAGACGTGTCAGCTCTCTTCCAAAAACAGTCCTCAGGTTAATGAAGAAAAAAGTTTACAGAGAGACTGTAAAGGATTAACATGATTATGTTTTATTAAATCAGCTTGAAGCTGGAAACTCAAAAGGGGTCTGTTATTTACAATGTAAAACTGCCATTTAAGATGTTGAAACAATAAACACCATTCTGACATGCTGACGAAATGTTGCTTTTTTCTTTTTACAATCCAAGACATTAAAATGATCATAAAAGCAAAAATAAAAGGCAGCTTTTGAACTTGTAAAGCTTCCTTCAATAGTTATATAGGAGACCTCACATTAAAAACATTAGTTTTTTGCATTTTGTTTAAAGCGTTCTTTGGACCAACCGGAGGTATTGAGGTGCTTTTCTGGTATATTACATTTTCAATTATGAATTAAAAAGTTAAGATCAAGAAAAAACGGATCAAGGACTCTGATGGTCGAAGTTCTAAGTGATAAGAAAACAGCGGGGTGCCTCTGATCAATGGAGCTAAAGTCAGATCATGTTTCTGAATCAATCTGCTTGATTTGCAATATTTATGAATCTTGCATCATTCTTTTTTCCTAATTAAAAAAGTCAAATAAACACCAATGTATTTCTTTTAAAGAAATGAGTTGTCCCTCATTAACAACCAGCACCCAGCATTCAGTGTTAATTTGTAGGCTTAAGTGGTCTTGAGACTTTGTAATTCAAGCTTCAGCACAATTGGTGGATTGATTAATGTTTTATTGCTGAATGAAAGTCACAGTGATCAATAAACAGGGAGTTAATTAATTCTGGCAATACTGGTGGGTTACTCCCTTGCTGAAGATGCTGTGGCCCTGATTGACCATGTCTGCCTTAAGAAGGCTGCCAGGCATACTTGATAACTCCCAGGAGTAGTGTATCGATGACTCTGTGCTGGACAAAGTGCAGTGAGATAGATGCAGTGCTTAAATGCAAGTGGGCTTCAATAAAAGTCCTGGCTGCAATGATTGTGCTCAGACAGAAAACCAGAAGCTCATTTGCCTCAGGCTCTGCACTTCCCTGTAAGATAGAAATATTAAAACTTTATGGACTAAATGCAAATAGCTCTGTAATGCCTGACAGCACTGTTGTTATGTAGCGTGCAGATGCTTTTCCTGTTTGGTCATTATAATGCTGGTGTACGGCATTGAAGAAGTACAGCGTTCATATTTTACAGACAGATCAGCCTCGTATTCCAGCTGAGTTTCCAGCTCGAGATAAAAATAGCGCTGGATGGCAAGCAATTCTGCTGGTGGGACCGTCTGTCCTTTCCATCAGTGCAGACTAGCGGCCACCACCACCCCCCTGCTCCGATTTGAGATTTCACTCCAGGTAAGATCTCGGGCCAGGTGTCTCCTGGAGGCCTGGAAGGCTGTTTTTCAATCACTGCAGCGTGCCAGCCATCCCTGCTGCCTTGGAGCCCGTTCAGCCTGTGGCCCAGGAGCCAGGGAGCCTTTCCACTCACCTCCCACATTCCTTCACCTTTCATTGTCTTGGCTTAGGGATAGCTCCAGATGGGAGCTGCTGCTTCCTGCCAATTAACACTGTAGCATTGCAACTTTCCCTGGTTGTTTAGCATAATAAATGTGAGAATGCTTCTGCTTAGGTGGAAACATGCTAATTGGAAAACATGAAACAGCACCACTCTTCAAACCCAGAA